CATGTTTAATTAAAGAATAAATGATCAATTTAGTGTATGAACAAATGTGACTGTCATTCCAGAAGAACATAAGAAGAATGTTTAATTTTAAAATTAGAAAAAATTCGATGCATTATTTTTCCTAATATTTAATTGTTCATAGTACAAAAATTTAAGGGATGATATTAACATATTTAGAGACCAAAATTGAAAAAGGAATTTAATGTAACCATAAAAATTTCAGGTATTTTAATTTTCTTTAGTTCCAGTGACTTTTATGACAACAGGATACAATTTCAAGGATTACTTCGAACATTTATTCTACTTTTTATACATTCTAAAAGTAGATATTCAATTTCTCTCTGTCTGTTCGTTGTTGGTTTTAGAACAAGACATCAATTCTGTCAAAACAATATTGATGTTTCATCTTTATTTACAAAAACTGTCTCAACAAATTGATATGTAAAACAGTTCTTCAGGATAAATTGAACCAAAATACACACTTTATATATATATATATATATATAATAATCCACCCCTCCTCACTACATGCTATGATTTATGAAATGGGAACCAAGAAATAGAACACTAGGAAATTTCTGATCTTTACTTTGCTCAGCATTGCTTTTGTGGTACATGGATGAACAATGGAATAAAAAATAGACTAGCTGAAAAATGTGTTTCAGCATGGACGAGGTACTAAACTCAATAGTCAAAAGAACATACAGGAGTTTACAAAAGTGGAGCATCCAACAAAAGCAGCAGCTTCACTTGGATAGCCAGTAGATGAAAATGAGAAATGTGCATACGGCTGCAACAAGGGAAAGTATAATGGTATCCATTGACTTTTTCCTCTTTATTGCCGAAAGTATATTATTTACCTGAAACATTATTAAAAACTGCTACATCAAACACTCACGAAACATGAAACCTTATTCAGTGTCCCTTTTCTTGCACTACTTATACAATGCAAGATGTATACGGCCAACAGGAAATGATTTAAACACCAAAATCCATAATGATGAGAATCATACCGTTGGGAGGCGACTGCTAACGTTGCCAAGCTTCGAATTGATACCGCCAAATGTTGAGCGTTGGAAGACAAGTGCTCCTAGTGTTGCTTGTGCTTGTGAAATAACGTTGTCCATCTGCAGCCCAAAAATAGGCAGAACAGTTCAAAATAAGACTAGTACAATTGGACATAAGATACAAATTTAAGGAAAAAATCAAAGGGTTCTCGGAAAAGCAGTTCTTTGCAGTTGCTGTATCCCTAGTACATGGCGTGTTGCTTAGCATTTCTTACATACGAAATTCCAATAAGTCCATAAAAGACTAACTTGTTTTCTAACATTTAAGTATTGATGAATATTGATCCCTCAAAGAAAAATAATTTCAAAACAGATTATTCCTATCTAAACACTTTAAACTCGAACCAACTAAATCAATTTAGCTGTAAGAAAATTTACATTACACATATGTAAATTCTGGCATTAACAACCACATAAATGAGCAATAAAAATTGAGAAAAATAAATGACAAAATCTGAAATTCATGATAAAGGAAAAGTTGTGTTGGTCGAGGAGACAGAGTACACTAAGAAAAATAGTGTCGGCTTTAATAGAATATATAAGGGTTGGTTATAATGTTTCCTAAAGCCTGACAGGCTAAAGCAAAACCTGATATGTTTACCAATGCCCCAGCTAAAGAAAAACTATACAATACAATATACAAGTCAGATGCATTGTAGGAAAAAAGGGTTCATATATAATATAAGTATATAACATATGCTAGCAACATCTGGATTGAGAAGAAACAAAACAACATTTTAAATCAGAAAAGTGAAACTAAGTGTTTTTGTATCACTAACATGTCCTGTACTTCGGCTGATAGATGCACGCTCTTTTAGGAGTGCATGCTGTTCAGTGTCTACACCTTGTTCCAAGTCTAATCTTGTCCGATCAAATTCTTTAAAATCTTCAAGCAGTGAAGCATGTTCTTGCTTAGCTAGAAGACTTGAACGAAGACGATAAAATTCCTGCAGTTCAATTGCATCCAGCTTAGTGCAAAAAGTTTAAAGGTTTGAAGACATTAAGAAATTGATAAAAAAAACAAAAAAATACATTACAAGGTAAAACTTATGTCGAAGATCTAAGAGCAAATTATGGAAATAATATATAGTGACAATTAGAAAGTTAGTATCAAGTATCACTTAATGCAAAAACATCAAAGACGCTGACAAAAATATTGGGATACAACACAGGGAGAGGGATCATAGTAGCATTGAATACTAGTAGATAAAATAAATATTAAATGTATATGATTTAATTTTATGCTACTATCATCAGGATATAATGCCGGTGACAGTTACCAGCAGTTTGTCATATCTTATGGAAATGAAAGAAGAAGTCCTTGTAAACAAAAACTTATAAGTTAAATTGGGAAAGTTTCTTCAACATTTACTTGCCATTAGTGGAAGTANTATTCACGCATATGGGTTCATTTTTTCATTATACTGCATAATGATGCTTCTTCTTTTTCAATCTTAATATAAGAAGCCAATTGATCTATATTTAGTTGTTTGAAAAACTTTAGATAGTATGTGTTGGGAATGCAAAATTGAGTCCAAGTCTCGTATTAAATAGAAATGAAGATGAAAGGTTCATTAACTTACTGTCTTAAGGTTTTGGACATAATCTCGTATGTGATTGGACTCAGATCTTATTAGTGTTTGTATCTCCCAAATGAATCTCTTACTCGATAGATCCAACACTGTGTTTAAATATTAAGAAAAGTATGCATAATCTCAGTAAAAAAACATCAGAAAAGTGTAAATGTGATTTAGTCTACTCACAAAATAACACGTTATGCTAAGAAGAAAGAGTGATTAGTGTGAAAGAATAATTAGATGATGGATGATGTTGGTGAAATTCATAGGTGTTGATGGAAGTCAAGGGAACATGAAAATATGCATTGATATGGTTGGAGATAAAGGTGAAATAGGATAAGTATAGAGTTGCTGTTAAAGTTTTCTGCTTTTGTACTATAGCGTTTGCTGGGCCGAATTTGACTGAAAATCCCTTTAAAAGATCTTCATGCTTGTTCATTCAGCATGCATCAATGTTGTAAAAGGAAGTGACTCAAGACTTTGTCCATTACCAACCCATCATGGCAACACCAGAACCTCTAACGATAACTCAAAAATGACCACTTATTTCCACTACCATGCAGATCACATCACCATGTGCTTTCATGAAGTGTTAATCTGAATATGACAGAAGAGATATCTAACACACGTGTCTGTGACTCATATGCAGTCACATTGCTACTAAGATGCTAAGATCTTAATACTGAGTGGAGAAAGTTAGGCCAAAAGTAGAGCCATTGCAGCTTCAATCCTATTTCAATTTCAACCACTTCAGTTAAGCCCTTTTTTTTGTACTTATGGCTTTTTTTTTTTTCAAATGTTGTCACTACCGTACTCAATAATGTTGAGAATTCAAGTGTGAGTCCAAGTTTCACGTTGGATAAAAATCAGAAAGTAAAACATTATATAAATATCTTAAGGTTTTGGATAAAGAGTGGTGTTGATCCCTTATATAGTTGGTTCAAATGTTATTGGTGTTTGTGTAACCCCAAGAAACCTCCTCCTACCCAACAAATAATTCTACATTGCTTAAAAGTCAAAGTTTAAGATAATTTAAATACTCTTTTTTTTCACCTCTAAAAATACTTTTTAAGGATAAAACAATAATAAAGTTTCACATTTCTAAGCCAACAAAAGGCACCAAAAGCTGAATAAATTCATAATCATACGATGCAAATGAATGATAACATGAAGATGTTTTTTAAGAACAAAACTGTAAGAAAGCTTCACATTTCAAAGCGAACGAATGTATCAGAACTGAATAAATTCATGATCACATGATGCAGGTGAATGATAACATGAATCTTTTTAAAGATGTTTTTAAAGAACAAAATTGTAATAAAGCTTCGTACTTCAAAGCCCACGAATGACATCACAACTGAATAAATTCATGATCATATGATGCAAAAGAATGATAACATGGATCTTTTTCTTTTTCTATATGAATAAATTCTTTCAACTTTTCTTTTCTAGGATTCTCATTTGGCAGTATTATTCAGAGCATGTTTTACTTTTACTTTTAACACAACTAATTAAGAGATTCATACCTCTTTGAGTTGTGCAGCTACCATCCTTGAATCTTGTTGATTGTGACTAAATTGTATTTAAGCGTATGCCCAATAGAATGAAAGATAGTAAAGATTCCAATGCAGTTGATGGCCACTTTCTTTTACACTTATTTATTTTATTTGCACTCTCTTTTTTCTTCTTTGCACCTTTTTTCTTGGTTTTGTGTTACTTATAAAAAACTCTTTCTGGAAACTGATTCTGGGAAGGCCTTTTAGAAGAAGAAAAAATTCCAGGAAATCAATTTCTTACATGTTTAATTAAAGAATAAATGATCAATTTAGTGTATGAACAAATGTGACTGTCATTCCAGAAGAACATAAGAAGAATGTTTAATTTTAAAATTAGAAAAAATTCGATGCATTATTTTTCCTAATATTTAATTGTTCATAGTACAAAAATTTAAGGGATGATATTAACATATTTAGAGACCAAAATTGAAAAAGGAATTTAATGTAACCATAAAAATTTCAGGTATTTTAATTTTCTTTAGTTCCAGTGACTTTTATGACAACAGGATACAATTTCAAGGATTACTTCGAACATTTATTCTACTTTTTATACATTCTAAAAGTAGATATTCAATTTCTCTCTGTCTGTTCGTTGTTGGTTTTAGAACAAGACATCAATTCTGTCAAAACAATATTGATGTTTCATCTTTATTTACAAAAACTGTCTCAACAAATTGATATGTAAAACAGTTCTTCAGGATAAATTGAACCAAAATACACACTTTATATATATATATATATATATAATAATCCACCCCTCCTCACTACATGCTATGATTTATGAAATGGGAACCAAGAAATAGAACACTAGGAAATTTCTGATCTTTACTTTGCTCAGCATTGCTTTTGTGGTACATGGATGAACAATGGAATAAAAAATAGACTAGCTGAAAAATGTGTTTCAGCATGGACGAGGTACTAAACTCAATAGTCAAAAGAACATACAGGAGTTTACAAAAGTGGAGCATCCAACAAAAGCAGCAGCTTCACTTGGATAGCCAGTAGATGAAAATGAGAAATGTGCATACGGCTGCAACAAGGGAAAGTATAATGGTATCCATTGACTTTTTCCTCTTTATTGCCGAAAGTATATTATTTACCTGAAACATTATTAAAAACTGCTACATCAAACACTCACGAAACATGAAACCTTATTCAGTGTCCCTTTTCTTGCACTACTTATACAATGCAAGATGTATACGGCCAACAGGAAATGATTTAAACACCAAAATCCATAATGATGAGAATCATACCGTTGGGAGGCGACTGCTAACGTTGCCAAGCTTCGAATTGATACCGCCAAATGTTGAGCGTTGGAAGACAAGTGCTCCTAGTGTTGCTTGTGCTTGTGAAATAACGTTGTCCATCTGCAGCCCAAAAATAGGCAGAACAGTTCAAAATAAGACTAGTACAATTGGACATAAGATACAAATTTAAGGAAAAAATCAAAGGGTTCTCGGAAAAGCAGTTCTTTGCAGTTGCTGTATCCCTAGTACATGGCGTGTTGCTTAGCATTTCTTACATACGAAATTCCAATAAGTCCATAAAAGACTAACTTGTTTTCTAACATTTAAGTATTGATGAATATTGATCCCTCAAAGAAAAATAATTTCAAAACAGATTATTCCTATCTAAACACTTTAAACTCGAACCAACTAAATCAATTTAGCTGTAAGAAAATTTACATTACACATATGTAAATTCTGGCATTAACAACCACATAAATGAGCAATAAAAATTGAGAAAAATAAATGACAAAATCTGAAATTCATGATAAAGGAAAAGTTGTGTTGGTCGAGGAGACAGAGTACACTAAGAAAAATAGTGTCGGCTTTAATAGAATATATAAGGGTTGGTTATAATGTTTCCTAAAGCCTGACAGGCTAAAGCAAAACCTGATATGTTTACCAATGCCCCAGCTAAAGAAAAACTATACAATACAATATACAAGTCAGATGCATTGAAGGAAAAAAGGGTTCATATATAATATAAGTATATAACATATGCTAGCAACATCTGGATTGAGAAGAAACAAAACAACATTTTAAATCAGAAAAGTGAAACTAAGTGTTTTTGTATCACTAACATGTCCTGTACTTCGGCTGATAGATGCACGCTCTTTTAGGAGTGCATGCTGTTCAGTGTCTACACCTTGTTCCAAGTCTAATCTTGTCCGATCAAATTCTTTAAAATCTTCAAGCAGTGAAGCATGTTCTTGCTTAGCTAGAAGACTTGAACGAAGACGATAAAATTCCTGCAGTTCAATTGCATCCAGCTTAGTGCAAAAAGTTTAAAGGTTTGAAGACATTAAGAAATTGATAAAAAAAACAAAAAAATACATTACAAGGTAAAACTTATGTCGAAGATCTAAGAGCAAATTATGGAAATAATATATAGTGACAATTAGAAAGTTAGTATCAAGTATCACTTAATGCAAAAACATCAAAGACGCTGACAAAAATATTGGGATACAACACAGGGAGAGGGATCATAGTAGCATTGAATACTAGTAGATAAAATAAATATTAAATGTATATGATTTAATTTTATGCTACTATCATCAGGATATAATGCCGGTGACAGTTACCAGCAGTTTGTCATATCTTATGGAAATGAAAGAAGAAGTCCTTGTAAACAAAAACTTATAAGTTAAATTGGGAAAGTTTCTTCAACATTTACTTGCCATTAGTGGAAGTAAAAAAGTTTAACGTATTTGGGTTAAAATCCTCACTTGTGAGAATGAACCATTGGTCTCAGGGTGGTATACATGAAATGTCAATATTCCTATTTACATGCAGAAAGCAATTCAAAATAATAAAAGCTCCATAACTAGCATAGGCTCACACAAAATGGTGCAGGATGACACAAGCTTCAACTGTACAATACCTGGGTGAGATCTTGAAGAATTTCTTGGTGTCTAGTCAAAGTGTGAGAAACCATTTCTGAACCACCAGATGACACCCATGCTTGCATCTGTGCATTTACTTGTTGAAGTTGTTTTAGTAATCGCTCAATCCAAGACTCTAGATCACTCTCTGAGGCATCAGCTTTTGAAGAAACATTAGCAGAAACCAATTTACGATAAGAATTCATCTGCTCATCTAACTGAGCTTCAAGTTTTCTGGCCTGAAAGAGATTTGGAGGAAAAACTATAAATCATTTTCCTAAGAAAACTAAAATATTTATAAACTAGGTAACTACAAAGGAAGCCAAAATCAAAAGTATCAAAATTTTCACTTCTTTTTCATTATTATTATCATTACTATGATGATTATGTTATTATGATTAAGGAAAAGAAACAACTTGTAAACACATTGAACGACACTTAAACCAGCAAACAAAATAGGTCAACTAAAATCCACACTTTCATGTTGAAGAATGTCCCAAAAGATTTAATATACATATTTCAAAATGTACAGGAATTGCAAGCTTGAAGTTTTAAGGACTGACAACTAAAATTCCATAATATTATGTACATTTATATCACGTAACACTATTTTTTTTCTCTCTATAAATTACATCAACCATCTTATCTCACACTTTCTATCTTTCCATCTCTCTCTTTATTTATACAAATACAATTTATCTATTGCATAAGCTTTTCATCAGAACTCCAAGAAAAGGCAAATACAGAGAAGCATATCTAAAAAATATCGATTTTAACTGTCAGTACATGAAAACAAAAGGTTGGAATTGTACAACTTCACTATTTCGCAGAGTTATTATAATAGAGCAATGCACAACCTGAATCATACCATTTGATGTGATTCAGTTAACTACAATTTGTATCTTAAGATGAATTTCAATTGTCTATGAATCTTACGATAAATGATTGGGTTGATACACTTTCATAAAAATCGATATGAATCACACGTTCCACAATTCGTTATTATTTCCTATTTACTCCTCCTTCTGGCATTCGCTAAGAAATTGAAAAGTCACATAAGCTTTGAGTGATAAATGAAAAGAATTGAAGACACATTTCTAAACTGTTCTATTTAATTATACGGATACTTTCTTTCTCACTTAGTTGTTCAATGCATGAACTTTAATTGATTGTTACATTTCTTCATTTCCACTCTTCCAATGTAGAGGCTTCACGGACTCACTGATAGTTTTGTTTTACAAACCGTTTTATGATTTTATCTAATTTTAAATTATTACATTGAACACTATTAATCATCTATATGGTATATTTATAGTTATTTACCATCGTCTTTGAAGAATTTTATGATTTGATACAAATTATTATGATTTACAATTCAAAAATTAGCTTCACGATTCACGAAATTAATTGAATCTTAAGATCAGAGTCTGTTTGGTTTGGCATTGGAATCAATTAAGATATATTTGATTTCGAAAAACCTGAGGGGAATAACATTGAAAATCGTATTACTCATTGGAAATTGCAAAAATTGATGTATGATGGTAAATCAAATACGATCTTAGTCACTCAACATCACTTCATATTTTCCAAACAGTTTACACAGTTGTGCTCCTGTATTTTAACAGCACATCAATATCCATATACCATCTATGATCAGAGAAAAAATTGTTATAAGTTACAATAATCCTGATTTGGCACCTTCGAAAGATCTTCTCCTAATCGAAACTCAATATGATGTAGATCAGAATAGGAAAACCTTATTTCTTAAACAAATCAGATGTATTCCTAATATATAAAATGAACCTAAACCTAAAGGCAGAATTCTATAATTGAATCCATCAATACACTGCCGTAAACCTGCAACCCAACAAATCAAACCAAATTTAAAGCACAGATAGAAAAAGGGTAGAACCCCAATCCCATGAATTCCCCATCACCGACAAAATGAAGAAACCCCATATAGAAAAGATTAAAATTTGGAGCACTCGAATCATGCATGCCCATTTTAGTTGCATCATTTCCAACATACGCAGATGCATAATCTGAAAAAGAAAGCATAAAAATAGAAAATTAAGAACCTGCTTGCGAAGGGCATCCCAGGAACTCGGAACCTCCATAGATCAGAAACTAAAGAAAGATCAAAAATCAAACGATGTTTTATTTTTTGATGGAATAACAGCGAACGTTGATGCGATTTGAGGTTGTTTGGCGATGAAGACGGGTCGTCTGCTCCCACGAACAGACGACTTGCAATTGCTCGCTTTCTCTTTCTTTTTGATTTATTTTCTTTCTATGTTGTGTTTTTCTACCAACAGAGAGAAAAAAAATAAAATAAAAACTAGTTTGCTTGCTTTATAATCCAGAATTTTAGATAGATCTCAATCCTTTCCTTCCTTAGATAAGACGTGTATGGAGCAATTCATGCATTATAATATAATCACATTCTAATAAAACTAACTAATTTACTTTATTTTGCTTAAATTTTTTAAACCCATATATTAATCATTAACAATGACTTTTAAAGTTGTCTTATATTTATATTTAATACTTTATACAAATTATATAATATCTTATAAAAGGCTTTTTGTAATTATTTAAAAACAAAAAACTACTTAACCCACAAAAAAAATTAGGTAAAGTCCTTAAATCTTTTACTTAGGTATTGCGTCTTCAATTAATGTAAACATGTAGGTTTTCTTTTTTTTCATTCCATTTTCAAAGAGTAATGTAAATGTTATTTTATTTTTTCATATTAATTCACATAAAATAATGATAGGATAATATATTTTTATATTTATTTAATACGGTATAAAATTAAAATTCTCGGAAAAAATGATTTTTTTATTTTTTCAAGAAAAAAAATGTAAATTTATTCATTCACGGATTATAAATTTCGAACAAGTTTTAAGATATTTCAGTAACATAACATTATTATGTTTATGGTATTGTTATAAATTATTTATTTTGGTTAGATGGTATGGTCAATTTATAATTATATTTTCGAAAATTTGAAAGTCAAACCAAATTCATGTATTTAAAGACATGTTTTACAGGCAAAATGAAAAAGAAAATTTACTGTGACAATATTTTGTTGTAATATTAGTTAACTGAATCGTTGAAAATATTTTAAAATTTTAGTTTAATAAATTAAACTGTTTCACCACTGACACCGATGAAAATGGAGCCGCTGCCAGTGATGATGACGGCTCCAGTTACCGCGGACGAAGGCCCTGGCATGGCGATAGCGCGAACGGCAGCGGAGGTATCGGAGTGTCCCACGTTGAGGAAGGGAAGAGTGATGGGGTTGGAGTCGCCAAAGATGGCTTCAATGGTGGCCAGCGGCGTCGTGGCATTCTGGAGGGATTGCGTTTCGAATGACATGGATGGAAGAAGCGCTGCTGCCATGGAGTCGCCGGCGGCGTCTCTGGCCGCCATGGAGAGGTGCAGCGGCGACTGGTCCTGGATGCATCTGTGTTTGCACGTGAAGAAGGAGAAACTTTGGAAGTTTTTTTTTTATTATTTGCACTTTTTGCACCCTCAAATTTACTGTTCACACCTGCTTTTAAATCCTTTTATTCTTTCTGGTTTGCCGTTACATGTTACAGACTATGTTTTTATGTTGTCCTAATACTTTTTTATATATGCTGCATGAAGATCGGATTCATCGATTTTCGTATCCTGGTCGGTGCCAGAAGGACACCGAGGAAGAGAAAATGGCTGAGATAGCCATGTACGATGCCAAAATAGCTGCCTGTGAGGCAGAAATAGAGATTTATAACATGAAAAAAGCTGCATTGAAGAAGCCTGCTTGATTCCAAAATTACAGAAGACGTTGACGCATACATGAACAGAGACCCATGTGTATATATATCTATCTAATCTAATATACTTGCATGCACCAAACAGTGGTGAATTCTGCATGTGCTTCCATCGAATATCTATAATATTTTCATGGGTACATTGATCATGAGCTTCTGAAGCTCCCAACAATGGCAGAAGGCGAATGAGGTGGTGGCTTTGTTGCCTCTTCCTCGGGCAGCTTGACCACAGTGTAGGCACCTGCCCCACAGAGAGTTCCAAATATGGGAGCAATGAGATACACCCATATGCCCTTGTAGTTGTTTGCAGCAATGGCTGGACCCAATGTTCTTACAGGGTTCATTGAACTTCCAGTTGCTGGCCTTTAATTAGTCACCATAATTATACATAAACAATAATAAATTAACCAAATCAACGAATATTTTTCACCCATCACCACTTCCTCTTTTTCCACACTCACGCACACTATTCCATTCTTTCTTATCTCTACTTGCCTTCTCTGATTCATTTCAAAGGGGACCATGTTTTCAAAAAATACACATCTTTTATTCTCTTTCTCACTCTCGTTTTTAGAAAATATTATCAAACACTTTCGAATACAGGACAGATTCTATTTTGCTTCAACCATGACTACCCCAACTTGTGCTATTGCTAAAGCCCTTCCCTTTCCACTTTGAAAAGATTGGATTATGCCAAGAATAATTAAAACCATTAAACATATTTGTATATATATATATGTGATATGTATTATTATTATATTATTGATGTTCCTAGTGACCCATGTGCTTCTTACTATATATGTTTTTTTTTTCTTCTTTTATGCAGAAAACCACCAATAATTGTTAATTAATAATGTACTAGTAATGTGTTTGAAAATAAGTTGGGACTTATACCCTGCAATAAGTATGTTGAGCATCACTGTAGCTCCCACTGCTATTCCTGCAAGCTCTCCCACCTGCATAATATTAACAGATTATAATATATATCAGTTATATCTACTCATATATATATATATATATATATAT